TGCAGAGATTTGTACGCATGTTTTTTTCTTCCAGGGATTACTTCACATTACAGACGCGCATATGAAGACTGCATATGAAGACTGTTCAACTATGTATTTATTTATTTATACATGCATTGTATTTTATCTTTATTTTTAATTTTCTGACTGCCGGAGGTCTTCCACGGAAGCTTCTCTCAACCTAGCGTTGGGGGCAACCTACTATCCTACCTCCCCTTACCCCCATTGCATATGGAAATAGGGTTTTGTTGTTGTTGTTTTATTTATGATTAAAATGGATCATTTTGCAACATAAATTAAAAATTAAAAATAGTATAAGAATATATTTACAACATTATACATATATAACTATTTTATAAATTATAAAACGAGTTTTTTTATCAATATTAATATATTGATGATTTAAATACTTAAAATAATAAATATTAAAATAATCATTTAATTAAATATTTTAAGAGATAGTGTTATGTTTTTTCAAATATAGTATGTTAACTATGGTTTGTGTGGATATGATTTATTATTGGAAAGTCTCATGTATTTGTGATTATTATTATTTTTCCGGAAAAGGAAAGAGTCAACGCTTTTGTCTTTTGACTTTTGAACTTGGACACGTATATTTAATGTTGGAGAGTGCCATTGGACATGCTCGACGTCAACATTAGGGATGACAATAAATCGGGTTATGTTAGGTTTTTTTTTGTCAATCTAATCTGATCTATAAAAGATATACCATTCGCTTGAATTTGATTCAACTCGAAAATTATATATTTTTTATTCGATCAATCCGACTCAAATTTTTAGAGTATAAATTCGACTAGGCCTAATCCGATCAGGTATAAAATAAAGATTTACTTAAAAATAATAATTTTTTAAAGGAGATTATATTATTGTCCCTAGGTTGGATCAAAGTTTTTTCACCTTCTACCTGATATTGACCCGAACCCGATATTTAAAAAAAAACTAATCCTATTAGATCGGGTCGTTTCGAAATCCATTGATTTCGGGTTAAATTATTACCCCTCGTAAACATGTAGATGTTGTGTAATGTGATTGCATTATTGTGTAGTTGAATTTTTTTTATTCAAATTCGAGTGAAATCGAATGTACTTTAAATTTTTTATTAAGAGTATAAAGATGAATTCTCTATATTCGAATGAATAATTTAACAATACAAATCGTTAAAAAATTACATCTTTAAATCAATAAATAATTTTTTAATAGAAACCGCTAACGTTATTAAAAAAGTAAAAATATCCGAAATTACAATAAAAATTTACAACTATCATAGTAAACTAAATAAATAATTTGGATTTTTCCTATAACATTGAAACTAGCCACCATGGATCATATAAGAACCATACATGAAAAAGTTAAAAACCCAACCAAGAGATTTGAATAAAAATATATACGAATAAATCTGATTGCATCGATAAACGAACTACAAAAAGAAATTAGGCTTGAAAGACCACTGAGAACTGCAGATCATAGCCAAATATCTTGATAAACTATCAACAAACGCAAAATCATGCATCCAAATTCAATCCAAAGATCCATAGCAGAGAATATCAATAAGATTTCGAATAAGCGTTATTTTGATCAGTCATGACGTCGTCAAATCCAACCCTGAGAAAACATAAATAAAAGAATGGACAAACAACCAAAAAAATCGAAAAACGTACTACAAAGACAGAGATAAACGTACAATGCATACATAATTATCCTTATTAAAAACAAAAAAAAAATAAAGAAAAAAGAGAATCAACGGTCGACAACCAACATCAAAATTAGTGTCGCCACCGACTAAAGAAAATTAAAAAAAAAAGTTGATATGATCAATGAAAAATAATACAAACTCAAAGAAAAAAAGAGGAAAAACAAAAGAAAAGAGCAATTAAAAATCAATAATTAATTGGTATAATAAAATGAAACATTAGATAATAATTTTTTTTTAAATAAGATAACAGTTTAAATTTTGACGTTATTATTGATCTTATAATAAATATTCACAGTATTCAATATGAACTAATTGGTAAATGGATTTAGTATTAATAGGCAAACTGAAAATAACTACAGCAGTGATTTAAACTCTAAAATTTTGAATTAAAAAATATTTATTTTTAAAGAAAACTTTCATCTAAAGTCAAAGGTGAAAGCAAAAAGTATTGAATGCCACTTCTTGGCGTGAATATATTGCGCTATTTTATGAAGATTGATCAGCCGTCCAATATTATAAAATTGATTAGGGTAAACTACGCATTTAGTATCTAATTATCAATTTTGATTTATTTTAACACTTAATATTTAGTTTTTATTTTATTTTAGTACACATCATAAAAAACTTATTGTGTTTTATACTTAATATATCAATTTTGGTTCGTTATTGTATCTAAACTTTCAATCTTTTCAAAACTTAAAGTTAAATTTTGAAAAGAGGGTACTAAAATGAAACAAGAACTAAAGTTTTTAATGGTGTGTACTAAAATGAAATAAAAACTAAACTTTAGGTATGATTTTAAAAAAAGTGACAGTTTAGGTACTAAAACGGACCAAAACTGATAGTTTAGGTACTAAATGTAAATTTACCCAATTGATTATTATAATTATCATGAAACGATTATTTTATAGTTTCGTATCAATATTATTTTTTCTAAAATAAAACAATATTTAAATTAAAAATTTTGATTTGAATTAAAAAGTTAAGTTGAAAAATCCATTTGAAGATAATTTTTTTTTAAAATATTATTATATTTTATTATTTCATACACTAATAGTGTTTTTTTTTTTCAGAAATAGAGTTTTAACATTGTTATATATGTTAAAATAGAGCGGCTAAACTCTCGACATAACGTTCTCGAACAAATTATTTCACGAGATAATGCTCTCTCAAGATTAATTACTCAAATAGGGTGAAATCTACAGTGTTGGTCGTAGGTCGCCATGCCTTCCGGGCGACCTACTACTTGGCCAGCCATGCACGTCCCCAAGCATAGGTCGCCACTCCGGGCGACCTTGTAGGTCGCCATACACTCCTGGTGACCTTGTAGGTCGCCATGCACTCCCTCCTGCTCCTCGCGTGATTCCTCTTGCCCTCGGATGCCCTCGCATAGCTCGCTCGGATAACCTCGGTCGGATGCTCTCGATCGGATGGTCTCGGATGCCCAGCGTGTTGGAACGATGGCACATGCAATCTCTCTCATAGCTCGTCGGGAAGACATGGCGACGTAGAAGGTCGCCTGGATGGCATGGCGACCTACGACCAACACTGTAGATTTCACCCTATTTGAACAATTAATCTTGGGAGAACATTATCTCGTGAAATAATTTGTTCGAGAACGTTATCTCGAGAGTTTAGCCAAATAGAACACATAATAGCATTAGAATCTCGTTTACCGCTGTTGCGTGAAATAATTATTCTATTATAAATTTCTTGTACTGTTAAATAAATTGATTTGAATCAATCTTATAATATAAAAATTAAATTAATTCATTCAGTAGTATTTGGACTAAGTTAAGCAGATCCCTATAATAGAAGGACCTACTGGACACTTTTACCACTTATTTTTCTGTTCCTTTAACGCCCCAAAGGCCATTAATGTATAGGCTTTAATGTGGTGTTTGTGTGCAAAACTCCGCAATAAATTAAATTAAGATACATAATTAATAAATTGATTTTTAAATAATCCCAATTTTAAATCTGAAAGAATCAAATTTTAATGATATTAAGATAGTGAAATCATCGACATTAAATAAATATAAATTTATGAATGATACTTTATAATTGATAAAATATTAATATATAATATTAAGATTAAAGTACATAAATAGTCTCCGATTATAGGATGTTAATTTATTAAATCTCTCGACTAATAAAAATTATATGATGTTGATTTGTCGATTTGTTAAGTCATTACTATTAAAAGTTACAAAATAATCACTTGTTACAAAATATAAATTTATGAATGATATTTTATAATTGATAAAATATTAAGATTAAAGTACATAAATAGTCTCCGATTATAGGATGTTAATTTATTAAATCTCTCGACTAATAAAAATTATATGATGTTGATTCGTCGATTTGTTAAGTCATTATTATTAAAAGTTACAAAATAGTCGCTTGTTAATTAAACTATGATAAATATTTTATTTTAATGATGTATACTGACGCCGTCGTTATTTTTAAGAGTTGGCTCGAAGATATAATGTCTTAAGCACTAACTCAACGACATAATATAAACAGAAAATCAATCCACAAATACAATTCAAACGGTTATGAGATCAGATTTGATCATATCAAAATCAACATATTAACTTCCAATATTTTCTAACAGAAAATGATGAGTTTGGAATATATAAACAAGTCAGGTGATCATTTTGTAACTTTTAATAGTCAAGAGATTAAAAAAGTAACGTCCTATAGTCGACGACTATTTTATACTCCCTCTGTCCCATTAAATTTGTTCATTGTTGACTTTTTTAGTCAATTTTTTTTAAATTTGACTCATTATTTCAAATTTATTATTGATAAAAATATGAAAAAATATATTTTAGAAACCTTAAATCAAGTAGTTTTCAAATATATTTTTTTTATAAAATTTAATTTTTTAAAATATTTAAAATAATTATGATCAAAATTTAGATTTTTTTTATTTTTTAAAAGTCAATAATGAAGGCATTTAGCTGTACTAAGAGAATAATTTGTAATAATTGAGAGACTCAATAAACTAACATCTTATAATCCGGATATTATTATTGTATTTTAGCCAAATATTAATTAAATTAAGATTAGATTGATTTTGTTATAATTATTTAAACTATTTCCATACATATATTCCCTTTTTTATTTTCATTTTTCTTAATGTAATTTACTTTTATTCATTGAAATAGTAATGAATCTTGCGACTGAATACTGTAAATCCAGCATGAACTATAAATACAATATGGAAATTATATGATTACACACACCAACCAAATTTAGTCAGCTAATCAGCTTATATAAATTGTATACATATTTAAACCATATAAAAGGTCCATTAGAGAGCTGCGTTTTCGAAGGAGAATAAGGCGGTGAAGAGAGAGAGAGAGAGAGAGAGGAGCTCGAGAACCATGGATACTCTGATAAGAAACAGAGGCGTATTCAGGGTCTCAGTGTGCGGGCAAGAAGAAGTGGAGCATCTCTCAAGAGACAGCAGCCATTACAGTCTATCCACCGGAATACTTCCTTCGCTCGGCGCCAGAAGCAACCGCCGTGTCAAGCTTAGGAGATTCATCCTTTCACCTTACGATCGTCATTACAGGTCGATATAAAACAAAAGGGTTCATTTCTTTTTTTCTCTTTTGATTTTATAACTCTGGGTTGTTCTTCATCACTGTTTCTGCAATCTTTTGAATGCTTTAGAATTATGGGTTCTTCTTGTTTTTTCCTTCTTCTTTTTTAATGTTGTTTTGACTCAAGGTGTCTGTTACTGTGGGGGATTATGGTCATCAATGGGTATAATAAGCTCATCTTTATTCTTTGCGGGAAAATCACGGCATTGAATCTCGTGGGCCTCGTTTTGGCAAATACGAAGTAAAAAAAATGTTTTCTGTTTTTGATTTCTTCGATGCTAGCTTGCCATTTTCTTCTCGTTTACACTCTGTTCTCTAGCGAGAAAAGCTAAGAGTAGAGGACTTTGATGCTGATTTCACATTAATGCAACTGTTTGTTTCTTTTGGTATTTGACTCTTTTTTCCCTTCCTCCATTTGTTTCTTGTTAGTTCGTTACTGTTATCATTTTGTTTTTATTAGTAAGATTTATGTTTTTGTTATACGTGTTGGGTATATGAAGAGGAACCATCCTGAAATCAGAATCTCTTATGGTGCTTTGCTGAAATTATTGATAATATTACTTTTCCTTTTAAAAGACCTTCAGTTTGATTCCTCTCTCTTCCAAAAGAATGATTTTAATATCAAACTTTAGGGTCTTGATGTGCTGAAATCTTTAGAAACTTGTATGCACTGTTGTCCTTTGTCCTTGCAGTTTCTGTTGTTAATCGAGTGGTTTCGAAACGTTTTATGCGAATTCGAAGTCGGCATATAACTATATCGATTCTTGCAGGATATGGCAGACTTCGCTGGTTATTCTGGTTGTCTATACTGCTTGGGTATCGCCGTTTGAATTCGGATTCATTAAGAAGCCGCAGGCGCCACTCTCCATTACTGATAATGTTGTTAATGGATTCTTTTCCCTGGATATTGTTCTCACCTTCTTTGTTGCATACATGGATAAAACTACCTATCTACTCATTGATGATCAGAAGAAGATTGCTTGGAAGTATGGCAGTTCCTGGTTGGTTTTCGACATTATATCCACGATACCATCCGAACTTGCTCAGAAGATCTCCCCTAAGCCACTACGCTCTTATGGCTTGTTTAATATGCTTCGCCTTTGGCGTCTTCGCAGAGTTAGTGCCTTGTTTTCAAGGTATTGGAGTTCCTTTTTCCCTTCTTCAGCTGAACTTTGTAACTTAATTAAGTTTAAAAGTTTGTGTATTACCTTCACTTGTTTGATTGTGGCATGATTATTTGTTTTGCTTTTTCAATAGATTGGAGAAAGACAAGAACTACAACTACTTTTGGGTTCGATGTGCTAAACTTATTTGTGTGAGTACTACAAAAAGAAGCTAGACGATTAGCCATGATTTTTGTTTCTAGTAAGGCACGATTCATGATGCTCTGGATGGTTTTTGTAGGTTACTCTCTTTGCTGTTCATTGTGCCGGATGCTTCTATTATCTTATAGCTGCACGATATCATGACCCGGGAAGAACATGGATTGGAGCATCTTTGGGAGACAATTTCCAGGAACAGAGCTTGTCAATTCAGTATGTGACATCGATGTACTGGTCTATCACCACACTGACTACTGTTGGCTATGGGGATTTGCATCCTGTGAATACAAGAGAGATGGTATTTGACATTTTCTACATGCTTTTCAACCTTGGGATGACAGCATATTTGATCGGTAACATGACCAACTTGGTTGTCCATGGAACCAGCCGAACGAGAAGATTTGTAAGTGACATATTATAGTTTATCTAACTAATCGATTAGCTTGAGTTATTTTTTCTTCTTTTCAATGTGTGTGTTTCAACTTTTGAGTTCCCTCAATTATGCATTTTGTCCACACCAATATAGGATTTTCCTTTGATAATCGTTCCTTCTTGTGCTGTTGGCTCTCAGAGGGATACCATTCAAGCTGCCTCGAGTTTTGCTCAAAGAAATCAATTGCCTCCTCGCCTACAAGACCAGATGCTGGCACATCTATGTCTGAAGTTCAGGACAGATTCGGAGGGGCTGCAGCAGCAAGAGACTCTCGATTCCCTTCCTAAAGCCATCCGTTCAAGCATTTCGCATTATCTTTTCTACTCTCTTATGGATAAGGTGTACTTGTTTCGTGGCGTTTCTAATGACTTGCTTTTTCAACTGGTAACCTACTAGAAACATTCTTAAGCTTTTGTACCGAAATTCTCATCTTTAGCTCTTTTCTGATATCTTGATCCGTATTTGTGAATAAATTTCTAAGGTCTCAGAGATGAAAGCTGAATATTTTCCTCCAAAAGAAGACGTCATCCTGCAGAATGAAGCGCCTACAGATTTCTACATCCTTGTCACCGGTGCTGTGGTAAAGCTCCTTATTTCTTGATCAAAATTCTGGATATTCTGTTGAATGATTCATGTTATCAAAACTTTTTTCTTCTGAAAACGGTCCTTGATGATTTGCTTTGCTTCTCAGGATCTTTTGCTTCTCAAAAATGGAGTTGAACAGGCAAGTTGCATCACTGAAACACTATCTTTATCGATCGATAATCAATGAATGAATGGTAACTGAATTAAATGCCAATGGTTTCAGGTCATCGGAGAGGCAAAAACAGGTGATATCTGTGGTGAGATAGGTGTACTTTGTTATAGGCCACAGCTCTTCACAGTGCGCACAAAACGATTGTGCCAACTACTACGTCTAAACCGAACTACGTTCCTTAATATTATTCAGGCCAATGTTGGAGACGGTACAATAATCATGAATAATCTCCTTCAGGTATATTTTCTTGTACAATATGACTTAGTGACTAATCTTGTCAGTGCTAGTTTCATTATAAATTTGTAGATAGAAAACTAAGATTAAATATGCAGAAGAATAAGCTTTTCACTTATTCTGCACTCCTGGAATTCCTTTTTCGGGGCAGCATTTGAAAGACATGAACGATCCAATTATGGAAGGAGTCTTAATCGAGACGGAGAACATGCTGGCCCGGGGTAGAATGGATCTACCTCTCAATCTTTGCTTTGCCACACTCCGAGGAGATGACTTGTTGTTGCATCAGCTACTGAAAAGAGGGCTAGATCCTAACGAGTCGGACAACAATGGAAGAACAGCTCTGGTTTGTGAAATTCTCCGGCTTTCGATTTGGTCATGTCCCTAAGTTATCAGGACTGTAGTTCTAATCTTTATTTTTCTATAAAATTAGCATATAGCAGCGGCCAAAGGAAGCGAGAACTGCGTCCTTCTCTTGCTGGATTTACGGTGCAGATCCTAAGGGGGTGTTTGGTTCAAGGAATGTGGGATTCCCATGGGATGGGAATCCCACATTCCTATGTTTGGTTGGCTGGGAATCTCATTCCCGGTAATGTTTTATTACCAATAGTAGATTTTTTGGGGTATATTACCGGGAATGTCATTACCTCCCTTCCCTTAGGTATTGTAACATTACCGGCGTTTTGGACTAAAATGCCTTTAAATTTTTATTTTTTTTCAAAAATATCCTTCTTCTGTCATTGAATAATAAAAATTCTACGAAGGTTAAATTACAAATTTATCCTTAAATTATTTTAGATTTACAAAAAAAATCTATAATTAAAATTTTATATGAAGTTTAGGGGTTAAATTTTTTTTACCCTTTCATTAAACATTTTTTTATATTTTTAATTTTGTAAAAAAATTATATAAATATTATGAATTTAATTTTTTAAAGAAAATATATAAATATTTTACAATTTGTAATATTATACAAATATATAATAAGGACAATTTGGTCAAATATACATTCCAATAATCTTTTATTCCTTTGACCAAACACGGTAATCTTACATTCCTGCTAAACCAACCAAACACAAAATACAACATTCCCAGTAATCCTATTCTCTGGTAATCTTTTATTCCCACTGGTAATCTTGCATTCCGTGAACCAAACGCACCCTAACTGTAAAGGTATTCTCAAGTCCTTTTCGTTGATTTTTGTTTTCCGTCAGGCGATTCTCGCAGTTCTTTTTTCATTGGTCCTACAGGTGCCATTGGTATCACATATAAAATATTATGCATAGGAATACATGAAAGGTAGCATTTTCTATTTGCATAATTTAGATGAATGATGATGTTATGGTGTTGACTTCTTACGAAACCGAAACCGAAAAGCTCTTCTACTTCGAAGCTGGTTTGATCAAATAATTCCACTTTGAATTCATGTTAGAAAAACCAATCGAGCTAAGCTCGGCTCTTCTGGTTTTAATATTGGCCTGCAACTGTTCGATGTCATCCTCATTTTTTAGTCAATTATTTTCCCAACAAGAACTCAAATATATATATATATATATATATATATATATATATATAATTCTCTTGGATAAGATGACTGGAACCCAGGTTTTGTTTAAACAATGTGCCCAAAAATGTCAAACAAAATTATCTTGTCATGTTTTTTTTTCAGTTGACTTTCCTGTCTTATATTTTATCATGCCATTTTTTTTGTCTATGAATGTGATGATTCATGTCCTTCCTGCTATAAGTTTGCCCATATATTTATTTGGGTCAAATTTTTTCGATTCTCGTTAATCGGTTCGGTGATTAACACCGAACAAGCCGGAATGTGTTGAGTTATATTTTATGTTTCAACTGGTTTGTTCGATTTTCTATCTGCAGACTCAGAAGGAAGTGTCCCGCTATGGGAGGCAATGTTAGGTGGCCATGATACCGTCGCCCAACTGCTGAAGGAAAACGGGGGAAACATAAATGCCGGAGATGTAGGTCACTTTGCGTGCACCGCTGCCGAGCAGAATAACTTAGATTTGCTGAAGGAAATTATTCGATACGGGGGCGACATCACATGCCCGAGGATCAATGGTTACACGGCTCTTCATGTTGCAGTTTGTGAAGACAACATTGAAATAGTCAAATTCCTTCTGGAGCAAGGCGCCGACATCGACAAGCCAGATGTTCATCACTGGACCCCAAGGGATTTAGCTGAGCAACAAGGACATGAAGAAATAAAGACCTTCTTCGAATCGAGTAAAGAGATGAAACCTCCATCTATCATGTCAGTTACGGAAAAGCAGGAACCACGTTATCTCGGGAGGTTTACAAGTGAGCCGGTCATCCGGCCTGCAGCCCCGGAAACAGATGGATCCTGGGGCCAATCCCGTCCGAGACGTAGGACTAGTAACTTCCACAACTCTTTGTTTGGCATAATGTCATCCGCACACAACGTGGAGAGAGAGATGCTACTGTCCGTTCATCAACCAAAGAGTGTCAAGCATTCTGGTTTAAACTCCGCTAGAGTGGTCATTAGTTGCCCGGAAAAGGGAGAAACCGCCGGGAAACTAATTCTACTTCCCGGGAGCTTCCAGGAGCTACTCGACATCGGTGCTAAGAAATTAGAGATCTCCAGGGCTAAAATTACGAGCAAAGGAGCCGAAATCGACGACATTGCGGTGATAAGAGACGGTGACCATCTTGTTTTCGTTAGTCAGGACCAAACGCAACAAGAAGAGCCTAGCAGCCAAAGCTTCCGACACGACGGGCATTCATAGACCATCTGTGCACTTTCCTAACTCTCCTCCTCCCAAATCGAAGCCGTTGCAACCCGTCGTCTTCGGATATAAATGCGTCCGACACAATGATACTCGTTTATATATATATATTCAGAAGACTATGGTACCCTACCAAGTTTGAATGTGTATAAAGAAATCAAAGAATGTTGAGGAAAATTTCAGTAATGTGACCACAAGCCATTGGTACTTTGTAACAATCTTTGTAATCGTTCTTATTTCTGTGCCTACTCTAAGTCTATACTGTGGACCCGCCGTTGCTAATAATGCGATTATTGTAATTGTAACATGCATTATTAAATTTGAAAAAAAAACTTAAATTTGTTTAGTACCTAAATTATCAGTTTTTGTTTGTTTTAGTACCTAAAATTTTAATTTTTTCAAAATCTATCTAAAGTTTAGTGCCTAAATTATCAGTTTTAGCTCGTTTTAGTATCTAAAAATTCAATTTTTTCAAAGCCTACCTGAAGTTTAGTAATTAAATTATCAGTTTCAGTTCGTTTTGGTAGACAAATAAATATACATTGAATTTGTTTTATTGACCATTTTAATTATTTTAAAACTTGTAAGAAATTATAAATAGGGTACATTACGCGTTTAATACTTAAATTATCAGTATTGGTTTGTTTAAGTATCTAAACTTTCAATTTTTTCAAAACCTATCTAAAGTTTAGATTTGTTTCATTGTAGTACCCCGTTAAAAGCTTAATGTTAATTTTTGTTTAAAGTTTAGGTACTAAAACAGACCAAAACTGATAGTTTAGGTACTAGACATGTTAAGATTTTAACAGTGGGATACTAAAATGAAACAAAAACTAAATGTTAGTTATGGTTCTAAAAAAGTTGAAGTATTAAACGGATAAAAAATAATAGTTTAGATACTAAATGCGTAGTTAACCTTGTAAATATTTCTATGGTAAATTATGAGTTTAATACTTAAATTATTAGTTTTGACCCGTTTTAGTACCTAAACTTTTAATTTTTCAAAAGCATATCTAAAGTTTAATTTCTGTTTTATTTTAGTACCCGGCCGTTAAAAACTTTAGTTTTTGTTTGATTTTAGTATCCCGTTTGAAATTTAACGTTAAGGTTTGAAAAATAAAGTTCAGGTACTAAAACAGATCAAAACTGATAGTTTAAGTACTAAACGCGTTAAATTTTTAACGATAATTTATTATTTATTAAAAAAACATAATAGTCAAATTTATCTTTAAAAATAGTATAAAATTGTTTAAAAAAAAAAAGTAAAAAGCGAGGGCTAAATTTATTATTTTACCCGCTAAGATTTATCAAGATCGTAAATTTAAAGAAACGGGAGGGCTACTTCAGTAAAGGTCTGTTCTTTCCTTGCGAGTTCATCTTGATTGGAATATATAAAATACTTTCTGTTTCTTATCTCCGAGTCTAAGACCGCAAGCATTAACCTTTAGCCTTCCAACCAAATTCTCTCTGTTTTCTTTCTCCGTTAATCTCTAATTTTCTCGGCTTAAATTCTTCTCTTTGGAGCGGGAAAGATGTCTGGGAAAGGCGCCAAAGGTTTGACCACCGGAAAAATCCTCGCTTCCAGCAAGGACAGAGACAAGAAAAAACCCATCTCTCGTTCTTCTCGAGCTGGTCTCCAGGTGCTGTTTCTTTTCCCTTTTCATTGCCCCTTGTGATTTTTTTATCTGGGTTTTTTGCCTTGTTGTTTTTTGATGGGATGGGCCGATGGGGGTTGGATTAGTGTTTGAACTTGAGTTGATTAACGGTCTTTAATTACTTGGGGTCTTACGCATGTTTAGCAGTAACAATTTATGGTAGTTTGGAAATGGAACTGGCTCAAAAAGGCTGTATATCTGTTGTGATTCCATTACTTAGGATGCAGATCGAATCGAAATCGTAAATCTGAATGTTTCGATTCGAATACTAGGTTCTATATGTCTCTGTTGTGTTGTTTGTTCTTTGTGAATCACAACTTTGGGTATAACTAGAGGTTGGAGCTTCATATGTTATATATTGTATCTCCTGCAGTTCCCGGTGGGTCGTATCCATCGTCTGCTAAAGCAAAGGACCACGGCACACGGGAGAGTAGGAGCCACGGCTGCGGTTTATTCTGCTGCTATCCTGGAATATTTGACTGCAGAGGTGTTGGAGTTGGCCGGAAACGCGAGCAAGGATCTCAAGGTGAAACGTATTACCCCCAGACACCTGCAGCTTGCGATCCGCGGTGATGAGGAACTGGATACCCTGATTAAGGGAACCATTGCCGGTGGTGGTGTGATCCCTCATATCCACAAGTCACTCATCAACAAGTCATCCAAGGAATAGACTGATGTTTTATTGCTTGCAGGGATTTGCCATGCCAATATCTCGGCTGCATTTCTTAGCTGTGAGCTTTAAACTTAAAAACAATAGGCTGAAGCTTAAAGTAGCGCATTTATGCGTTTAGTTAATGTCGAAACTTAGGTCTAGACTGGTATTTTATTTTTCGTTTTTGTAGACGGTAGTGGCATTGTTTTACAGATTGACTGAACTGGTTGCTTTTGAATAGTTAACACATTGAACTAGCTTTAAGGTCATTGATGTGGTATAATATTAGATGTTATCTCATGAGTTTTATTATCGAATCGTTTGTTCTGCAGACTATTCTTGCATTTGCTTGCTGCTCTTATGAGCATGAAGATCAAATTTTGTTCTAGTGTCCCGATAACTCGAATCAATGCATGGCCTAATTCTGTTGTCACAGGCTGCATTGTTGCTTTTGAATCCCCAACCGAATGCTATTTGCCATGTTCTGTACCCTTACCTAATACTACCTTTAGCTTCCGTATACGCCAATCCATACCAAAGGGAACCGCTCGAGGTTTTGTCAAACCGGTAAAGAGTGGAATGAATGTATTGATATTCATCTTGAAAAGCTTCTTTCCAGCTAATTTAGCAAAGAAAAGCAGCTGTTCGGACATTGGAAGAACTAGAGGGCCCAATGTGGTGATTAGAGGTTGGGTTTAGTTCGGGTTATTTCGGTTTAGACTTAATTCGGGTCAGATTTGGGTTGGATCGGATCATTTCGGGTTTGTATTAAGTTGGGTCAGGTCATTTCGAGTTTCGGTTTTATTCGAGTCTATAGTAAGTCAGATCGGTTCGGGTATCAGGTCGGGTCATATTGGATCGGTTGATTTCAGGTCGGGTCATATCGGATCAGTTGTTTTTTAGGTCTGGTCAATATTCGATCAATAATTTTTGATTTGGGTCAACTTTGAATATTCATGTCAATTCAGGTTGAGTTGGGTAAAAGTCAAATCAAATATATATAGAATTATTAATATATTTTTGTAAAAAAAAAATGGGTTTGGGCAAATTAAATTCGAGTTAATTTTGGTTGATGTTATTATCGGTTCGGGTTTCTCTCGGTTCAGGTTACTTTCGGTTTGGTTAAATTGGAATTGGTTTCGATTTGGTTAAGGTTACTTTCGGTTTGGTTAAATTGGAATTGGTTTTGGTTTGGTTCGGGTTACTTTCGGTTTGGCTAAAATTTGGGTTGATTTCGTTCGATTTGGTTTTTTCGGGTATCGAGTCAAATTGAATCATCATGTTCGGGTCTATCTCGGGACTCGGTGGGCAAATCGGTTCGAGTAATTGGGTTTGAGTCAAATTTGCCAAGTCTAGTGGTGATGTTGATCTTTAAAGCATCACCAGTAATTGCCATGAGTAGGGGGTATGAGTAGGGGTGTTCAAATGGTTTACTCGGTGGCTGATCGAATCGAATTATCATTAATTAAATTAATCGAACTTTTTTTCTTTAACATTTAACTGAATCAAACTTTTTTTATCGAACCAAAAAAAAAGTTCGATTATTTTGGTCGGTTAATCGAATTAACCACTTTTTTTATAATTATTATAATTAGGTTAATTTAAATATAATAGATGTATATTTTTTATTTGAGTTAAAAATTAATTAGGTATTGATAATTTAATGAGCCTAGTGTGATTAGAGGTGGCAAACGAGTCATTCGGATCGGGTTTTGGTTATGTCATTTCAGGTCGGGTAATTTCGGGTCTTGGTTAAATTCGGTTTAACTTTGTTCATACTGGATCGGATCTGGTTCGGATCTAGTTTGGGTGTACGGTGAACCGGATCGGGTCGGGTATTGGGTTGGGTCAATTTTCGGGTCAGGTGATTATTGGATAAGTTATTTTTCGTTTCGAATCAATATCAAATTGGTTGATTTTTGGATCAGGTCAATATCATGAAAATAATGAATAGTCGAATGATCATTGTGTAACTTTTAACAGTCAATGGACTAAACAAAGCAACATCCTATAGTTGAGGTTCATTCTGTAACATTTAATAGTCGATGACTTAAGAAAACAATATTATATAATCGGAGATCATTTGTATACTTTATCCATAAAAATTAAATGTATGATTATAGTAATTTTATTAATTATCGCATCAATTTCTCAGTCAATCGCATGATTAGCTTGATTTGTATAATTTAAATACTTAAGTGTTTGAACGATAAAATTAAAATTCGACTATAGTTAAGTGGTCATGTATGTAGTTTATCGTGTTTTCCTCCCCATTAGCCTCTGAAAACGCCGTCGTATTTGTCATTCAAATCATTCTGAAGCACTGAAGTTTCGTTCTTCGCTTCGCTTTTTATTGTCATGGGAAAACAATGGCTCCATCGCTGTCCTTCTCGCCAGTATTACCAAATAAAAAAACGCGGTTTTTGCTTTGTAGTATTTGCCTTAAGCTCTTTCACAAATCACAATCATTCATTTCGATCTCTGCTTCCCCAAGATCTCACTGTTTCCTCTTGTGGGTGACTACTCTGTTTCGAAATCTATTCGTCTTTGAAATCTGTATTATTTTTCTTTAACTAGATCAGTACACATATCTGATTTCTTCTTTATTTTGTCATAATTTCGACTTATGCATCTTCCATATCTCAATTTTGATTAAGATCTACTCATTAGCTTCTGGGTGTTTGCTAGTAAGGGAAAATGTCGACAATTAGATTTGATTCCACTGAACAATACTATGCTACGAGCAGTTTGGTTGTTGGTTATGCACTATGTTCAAGTTTACTCGCTGTTATCAACAAATTTGCAATAACCAAATTCAACTACCCGGGCTTGTTGACTTCATTACAGTACTTGACTTCTGCTTTAGGAGTCTGGGTTTTGGGAAAGTTTGGGTTTTTACATCATGATCCTTTCACTTTGGATATTGCCAAGAAGTTTTTGCCTGCTGCCCTTGTCTTTTACCTCGCAATCTTCACGAACACCAATCTTTTGCTCCATGCCAATGTCGATACCTTCATAGTGTTTAGATCCTTGACACCCCTTTTGGTTGCCATAGCCGATACGACCTTTAGGCGGCAGCCCTTCCCGTCGAAGCTAACGTTTATGTCTTTGTTGATCATTCTGGGTGGTGCTGTTGGCTATGTGGCTACCGATTCGGCGTTTACGATTACCGCCTATTCGTGGGCGATTGCCTATTTGGTTACCATTACTACTGAGATGGTTTATATTAAGCATATGGTGATGAATCTTGGGTTGAATACTTGGGGTTTTGTCTTGTACAACAACTTGTTATCGTTGATGATGGCGCCGATGTTTTGGGTTCTGACGGGAGAATACAGAGATGTGTTTGCTGCTTTGAGAGCCAATGCAGGGGATTGGTTCGAACCTGTGTCGTTCACTGCGGTGTCTTTGTCGTGCTTGTTTGGTTTGCTCATTAGTTTCTTTGGATTTGCAGCTAGGAGGGCGATCTCCGCCACGGCATTTACCGTGACTGGTGTGGTTAATAAGTTCCTCACGGTTGTGATCAATGTGTTGATTTGGGATAAGCATGCCACTCCTTTTGGTTTGGTTTGCCTCCTCTTCACGCTGGCGGGAGGGATTCTTTATCAACAGTCGGTCACTGGACCGCCGCGTGAACCAATAGCATCTAAGCAGACAGGTGATGAGGACGAGAATGATGATGTCGAAGATGATCAAGGTAAGACTGTATCCGGTAAACATGTTTCTGTATGAGAAGTACTGTTTCTTATGTTTCATTGTTTTGGCCACTAAGAAAGAAGACTCTTGGGATTCATGAATCTCTAGTCTCCCAATTTTTAGAATTTAAACATGCTTAGCTCTTAGCCCTTTAGCACTTGTTGATATATGAATCATTATGTTTCGAATTCGGTATTGACGATATCGTGGCATTCTTTTGTTGCTTTATGTACTATTGGTGTCAAGTTTTTTTAATCAATTGGTTGTACTTGTGGCTCATTCAGAATCGCGGAATTTGTATCTTGTTGTTTCTTCTTTACGGTTCCTTGTTCGTAGATATTCTGGAGACCTTGATTTAAATATTGATGTTGACATCGGCTATCGGCTACAAACTTTTGCCATAGTTTGAACTCTGAATTTATAATGTGTCATATGGCTCGAGTGCTGTATGCTAGTGAAGAAGGCAGTGAGCCTTGGTTATATTAACCGATGTTCTGATCAGCATCTCGCAACAAATGCCGTTGATCGGCATGTGCAGTGTTGGGCTCGGACTTTGACACAAGTACTCTCCTGAGATTCTAAAGAAGCTTGCTTACCTTGGAATAAAGTAGACAATCCCCATGCTCCCATAAGTAGATAATATTTGCAGATATGCACTGATGAACACACACTTTCAGTTGATTATCATTTCATGCTGCACTGGATAGTTTATGTTTGGTTATTATAGATCTGCAAAGCCGAATTCTATATTCGTGGTCGGGACAGAAAATAGCGCTCAAGTTAGACATAGTTTAAGGAGCCGAGGGGGAAACCTGCCCTTGCCTGTCCTTGCTTAGATCTGCCCCCGGCAATGACCGTAGGCCATGTTGAGCGTTTCTTGTGGTTTGAACGCCCTTCATCAACCTGCCTAAACCTGCATTTTCAATGTCAAAACATCCTTCTCACCTGTGTTCCTGGCTTGATCTTGTAAAGCGATCCTTTCTTCGTTTAAGCGGCCCTTGAGAATCTCTGTTCTCTCGGGTTAACCTGGAAGCACTCTCGGAACACAAATCTAATCCGCTTGCCATATCCCAAAAGCCGATCCCCAAATAGTTGCTAGAAAGCAACAGATCAACCCTCATTGAATTTTGAACCCCTGAAACCCACATAACCTAGGTTTAGCTCGACATGAAACATAGAACATGCATGCTGTTAACATCAGCAAGCAACCCGTTTTGCTGCACAGGTCGAAATTAAGCACCCGTATCTTTTTTTCTGTTGTTCGTTATTGTCGTTAAAATACCCGATTTCCACGACAATCATATACGTCGATCAAAAGACAACATCACGATCAAAACTAGATTTAAAAAAAAAAGGTGACTCACCTCTCCACGACAATCATATACGTCGATTTCCAATCAAATTACTTCAGTGCTTTTTTCAACCATACCCCACCGTCCATTTGTCTGACCATGACGCTATCCGCATGGGATTCCTTGCTGGACACTTTGTCTTCTTTTTTCTATTAAAATATATATGTATATACAATAATCATCATCGTCATCATCATGTCTGAAGCAAAACTGGTCTTTCTATTTATAAACCCTTTGAAGACCAAATTATTGGTGCTGGAGAAAAGAAACATGGATGGATGTCAAACTTTAGGCACCAACAACGACACCCTCGGCTTCTGTCTCCTCCCTTCTGAACTCATACAAAGCATCCTCTTCTCCTTGGCTTTGCCCGAGATCATTCGGATGAAATTGGTCAACAAGTTCCTTGCTTATCTTATATCCGACCGGGACTTTATCCGGCAGTGCAACCTACGATCGAGGTCAGCCACTTGGTTGTTCGTCTACAATAAGCGTTGGCGTCGTGATGCCGCGATCCATAGTTTTCGGACCAATCCAACCGTTGGTTCAAGATTTGTATCGATGATTTGATGAAACAAGTTCTTTTTTACCCGGGTGAGGATGCTTACTTATTGACGGTGAGTGGGAATATCTTCTTGTTTGGTTCGAATAATCAAAAGGCAGTTATTGCCTTTAATTTGGTTAACAATGCAGTTAAGAAGATCCCCCCCATGCCCGTTAGGTCCTCGTGGCACTTCTCTGTGGAGTAGTTAGTGGAGAACACTCCCGTTGTGTTCGAATATAGATCCGAGACCCAAAAATGGCACTGCAGAGAAGCAGAGGAGTCAAACGAGAACATCCAGGCGAATGATTACATGTTTCTCAATGCAGTTAACGGTCCTCACGAGAGCTTGGTGGTCGCGGTCGGACCTGGACACGCCCAGCCGTTCATTCTACGACCAAGACTCAGAACCGGCGAGCGTCAATCGGCCACGATGTTCAGCCGGATGAACATCAACGACTGTAGGCACGTGTACGGTGACGGACACATGATGGCGGCGAAGGCGTTGAGCAGTATAGAAATGTGGGGGACAAGCCTAAGGAGTGGGAATTGGAGTACGTCTCGAGTGTAAGATTGTAAATAACTCCATAAATAGGTTAAGACCATAACTATGGACTCTGATGTTCCCCTAGTGGGCTTAAAAATATGAAAGGTGTGGGCTAGGGTTCAAATGGAGGGAATTGAAGCTGCAAAACTCACATCACGTGCATATATTTAATTTCTTTTGCTCTTAACCACACTTACGCTTTAATATAATATTTATATTTTTTAATTAACTGAAGTTTAATTAGATTTATATTTGTTGAAGATTGTAAATTTAAATACATTCAAATACAATTATTTTATGTTAAGAAATTTGAAGGATGTAGCCGCTTTCTTCTCTTCCTCTCTTCTTTTTTTTTTTCTTCTTCTTTACGACATGTGTTAATTTTATTAATCAATCTAACTTTTCGACCGCCCATCGGGTTCCGTCAATTATCTTTTTTTTAATTTTTTAATAAGAATAATTATGTCTCTGTAACATGTTCTTTGCATTTATGATACGTTTATCTATGCCTTTAGGTAGCTTACGATTTTTTGTCGTTGTTTACTGTTTTTTTGTCATTTTTGTTTATCCTTTTTCTTAAAATTGGATTTTACATCCCCACGACTGATCAATATGTCGCTTATTTGTTATCGTGATGATCTTCTTTGTTTTGTACCCTCATATTAATTTGGATACGCGTTTTATATTCGTGGATAGTTCGTCGCTTGACTCTGATTTGTGATTTTTCAGTAGCTTCATTATCTTTTATGGTTCGTTTTCTGATGTAGTCAGATTTGTTCGTACCTTTATTTTATTCGAGTTTTTTTTGTTAGGTTTTTTAAATATTTTCCTTCGTTGATCCTTATGTGATTAGTTTTTGTCTCAATGATAATAGAAAAATGTCATAATTATATTTTAGGTTTACGATTATACTTATAAATCTTCGCTGTAACTTTATATATTTTATATTTTTAATAAAACTAATGAATTTCTATAAAAAAAAATTAAAGGATAACAAATAGACACAGACATTTAAATTTAATGTCATAATATGCTCTATAGTTTTATAAGTTTAAGTTGGTTTTCTTTAACTTATCATCATAGGTCCGTCCCATCATATAGCATATAGATAACCGTGAAAAGGTTCACACAGACATAGGAAGAGTCATAAATGGACACGTGTCCTAAAACTAGAACTAGATGGTCAATTTGAAAGGTATCTAAGAAGAAGGCCCGAACTTTCAGTTCCATATTTATCAACGCCACAAAAGGTTAACAAATCTTTTTCATTCACTTTCCAAGTAGCCCAAAACAAAGCTATTTTCTCCCATGCATGTGCAAAACAATTGCTGAGGGGACCAAATATCCTCTGCTTGCAATCGTTCTTCATGAACAAAGAAGCCACCAAATTAAAAAAGACGAAGAAGAAGTCTCCTAGATGAAGATGTTTTCATGGGCAAGCAGAGACCACGGAGTTCGATAATTATTGTTAGTTGTTTTCACAAGATAAAGACATCTAAAAGTAAAGCTAATTACGTTTTATACAGCAATTTATCTTGGAGATGGCATGACATGACAAAAAAAAAAAATTCTTGCAAAGAAAGGTAACTTTGAAAGATGGCTTTTTTTGAACTTAATGGTTCTGTTCTTTAATGTGTTTTCCGGCTATTGACGTGCCTGGTGGTTTTTTATTCGAGTGGTGGTCTGTATTTTGGGACATATTCATCGCAAGGACTAATGAGAAGCATTAGAAGCCGCTTCTTCTTACATTGAAGCGTGTTGCCTACTTGTCTAGCTCTCTCCGTTCTCTAGCATATAAATTACTACAGTAGTTTCTGGAAAAAGGAACTTCCTGCATGCTGTAACTACTCGGGTTTGTTTTGTAATTGATACTGTTGTATCTTCTTCTCTGGTATTGTCTTCCTCTTTGTTTGGATGGGAGGTTCAATCAAGTATAGTCATTTTTAAGGAACAAATGTGAAATGGATCATATCTTATTAATTATTCTTTGATTTTTCTTTTATTCATGTCAATGGTCATTTTACAATTGCTGCTTTCTGCGAGTTAGTTGAGTAAGTTTCCTCTTTTATTCATGTCAAAGTTCGAGAGGTGCAACAACAGCAACAGTATCAGAAGCCTCAGCCGATGCAGCAGCTCTTCTTGCATAGGCAAGCTCAGCAGCAGCAGCAACAACAACAACAGTAGCACCAGCAGCAGCGAAGAGAAGGGACTCGGTTAGCAAATGATGCTGCCGATGGGCTTCTTGGTGAACCTCACATGGACAGCACTGCAAGTGCAATTGCTGCCGCAGGAAATCTGTAGAATGAGAATTTTAGGTTTCCACGCCAAAGGGATTCCTTGGATGATACAGCTGTGAAGGTACATTAGCTTGATAAGAATTGATCCCACCCTTTTTCACCCATTCTTTCTTTCTTTTTTTCTGTCATCAGATAGATTGCAGAAACTAGGAGGTAATATGGGCCAGCTTCTGGATCCTAATCAAGCTTCGAGGATGAACGCAGCCTCAATGGTTGGCCAGCCTCCTGGGTACTTTTCAATTCTTGTGTTGTCTTTTTGCTTTAAAAGGATCATTTATTGTTTTCATTGTTAGCTTGGTCATGTTTGCTATGTAAGAACTGCTAGTGATACTTACAGGCACACACTTCATGGTACACCTGGAAATATATCAGGAAGTAGCAAATGCAAAATCGAGGTCGGCAGATTTCAGTGCCCACCCAGGTACTTAATCGTTATTTTATCTTTCTTTTTTTTTTTTTTATAAATTTAGGGTTTAGAGTTTATGATTTAGGGTTTAGGGTTTAGAGTTTAAGGTTTAGAGTTTAAGAGTTAGAATTTCAAAAAATAATATTAAAAAAAATTAAACCCATAATGTTTTTTTTTTAAATATTCGTCCCCATTATTTTTTTTTAAAAAAAATAACCTTATGGTATTGGATTAAATGATACGTTCTGCTCTTAGAGAACTGCGGATATATGTTGTGTTTTATTCATCGAAATATAAAAGATTAGTTATGGTTCAATTGGTGTAATAGCCACCAGCGCTCTTCTAACTCCAGGTATTAAGAGTTTGTCTTAAAAGTCTTATTTAGCCATTAAAATCAAAATAAAGGGAAAAATAATGATTAAAAATGATAATAAATAATATTAGGATGACAGATTAATGAATTTTAAATCGATTCATTTCAAAGAAATTTTAAAAAAAGAAGATAAATTATGCATTTAGTATCTAAACTATTAATTTTGGTCCGTTTTACTCTCTAAACTTTCATTTCCTTTTTTAAAATTTAATGCTAAATTTTTAACAGAAGTCTAAATATTAAATATTAAATTAAATACTAAAATGAAACAAAAATTAAGCATTAGGTATGATTTAAAAAAAATTAAAAGTCTAAATATTAAAACGGATAAAAACTGATAGTTTAAATATTAAATGTATAATTTACCTTAAAAAATGACATTAAGGTAAGACGTCGTGAAATTTATGTTTTTAAACAATAAAATATCGTTTTACCCCCTCTTATTATATGAAATTCTCATTTTATTTTTATATAAATTAAATACAAAATAGATAAAACAAGAAGAGAGAGTGGATCGCCATCCCCCCTTCATGTCCTGCCCCTTTTGTTCATTTGGTCAAGGATGGTTTAGCCAAGCAAAGAATTGGATAGTGGGTGTAGTTTAGGACCTAAGTGGAAGAGCTAATTCTTGTTTTGTTAGGATTTTCGATTGTGTTTTTGTTTATTGTGGTGTAGTTCCTGGTTCTATGACGATGTATTGTACTATCTTTTGATTTTTAATAAATTTTGAGGTACTCTTTTATTTCTTCCGCTACTTATTGACATACATAGCTGTATGCCGAGAAATATGAAGAGAATTTTTAACGAGACCGCCTATTCTTATTAGAAAAAACAAGAAGAGATACATTCTATATATATTCCTATACAGATTCACGTTTATATAGAATCTAAGCCAAGAAAATGCACCCTCCTTGGTTCAGACCATATCAAAATCTCGTCATCTCCTTTGGAAATTGAAGGCTTTTATAGCGAACCCGAAAATCACTGCAAAAAAGATGACAAAGAAGCCTACCATACCAGCGGTTACGCTCAAGAAATCATGACGATACCCGAACACTGTCTTGAGTAACAGTCGCATAGGCATCGAGTCTACTCCGTTCGCTAGCTTGACCGTCGTGTCGTTGTTGCCGTACTGTGAAATCACGAGGCCGTATAAGCTCCAGGCCATGGGGTTCGCCCAGTAATACCATCTCCACCATATGGGGATTCTCTGGAAAATTACACGACATTCATTTACTCATGAAACCAAGCATTGACAGATTAGGCCACTATGTGGAGAAACAAGAAAACAACTGGATTTATCCATTACCTTATGGGGAATCATAAAGCCAGAGAAAAGGTTCCAAAGCATGTAAAATGGAGCGGCGATGATAGCGGCCACATTGTGATTCGGTGTGACGGCGGTCGTCATCATGCCGTAAAAGGTGAAATATAACAAAGTTGTATACATGAAGAAGAAGTACCAAATAAATTTCAAAGCATTCCATTCAAACGAGGCCATAGAGTAGAAAATTGAACAGTAAATTACTGATTGTGCAAACGCGTACGGGAACTCAATGGCAACCTGTAAAGAAGCAGAGCAGACTGAATCAAGGCTAGTTTCTAGAGATTAAAGCACCCACAGGTACGGATGAAAATCGGAGCTCACCTGAGCGAATGCAAAGGCTAGGCCTGAATACATTCCAGCGGCTCTTTCTCGGTACGAAACAAATCTCTCGATAGAAACAACGGGTTGAACCGCAGTTGCATTTGTGATACCAATGAAAAGGACTGCACCATACATGGACCCCATGGCATTGAATAAATCTTGCTGGCTCTCCCTGTAAGTGCAACCAAAATGGAAGATGAACGAAAGGCAATCCACGAACAGATCAGAAATGCATAAAACGAAAACGATTTGTTCATCATTTCCTAAGGAAAACCGGATTTTGCTACAACTTGCAGCACTCTATTAGTAAAGTCATAAGCTGTCAATAATATGATTCCATGCACAGACCTGTTAGAACCTTAAACGTGCTTAATATCAGTGAGCTTCTTTGGAAATGTATTCAAAAATAGCAAATAACAGATCATTCAAAATAAAGTACAGTAAGGATTGAGGGGAAGCAGAAAACATATGAACCAAAGCTAAGAATTATAAACAAAATCCCTTGAAAAGCATAAGATAAACACAAAACTATATAAATGGTGTTGAAAAGGATGGTGAGTTGAAAACCTTTTCGAACCGAATTTCCAGCATATTGTTCCAAGCATCAGCGAGATGACAACAGTATAGAAGAATTTAACTGCTGTATATTGGGGGTTTCGCCAATAAGATAGATTTTGCTTCCAAAGACATGATAAGAACTGTTCATAAAAGGACTGGGGATACTTGGATGGAAAGTTTAACTCTTTAATATTGCTGCTTGGGTTGCTTAGGTTTTCGACTAACTCCCTGTTGCGCCTGAAACAAAGTAGTACAATGAAATTGGATGAGTTTTTGAAAAGGTTAGAACTAAAACACTAAATGAATAACCATTAGAAAAAGCTGAAATTCCACAATAAGTATCCCTTACTGAAATAGATTTGATCGTCGATAAATTTCTGCAAAGTCCACCCCCAAACGATTTTCTTCAGCTGATGAAGTAACCTCAAGCATCCAAGCAGCAGGATTATAGCCAGGTCGGATCTTAGGCACTCCGACTGCCTATTAAACAAAATTATAGAGTCAACATGGGTGACACCAACTTCCATTTTTTTCATAGGCCAAGTTCATAGTTCAATAAACAATTATATATTTATGAGATGAACAATCAAAATCCGACCTCAAAATACTTTATGAGTTCGCAAGACTTGGGGCCAAGTGGACCAGCATATATGAGCTCTCCTCCACGCTTCATAAATAAAAGCTGCAATCATAAATTAAATAAGTTGAATCAGGAAGGGCTCAAAATGATTATATAATGGTTAAGTACAAAATAACTTGTCCCTGGATTTGCCTATGTTGCACGGAATAATTTTAAAGAGAAAAAGACCTCGTCGAAGGATTCAAAAATATCTATACTGGGCTGATGGATAGTGCACACGATTGTTCGTCCAGTGTTCACAATGTTTCTGACAGTCCTCATTACAATGGCAGCAGATCTAGCATCCAATCCTGATGTAGGCTCATCCATGAAAACTATAGAAGGGTTGGCAACCAGTTCAACAGCAATAGTGAGCCTCTTTCGTTGTTCAGTGGACAAGCCATCAACTCCTGGCAGGCCGATCAATGCCCCACTCAATGGAGTAAGCTCCACAAGTTCCATAACCTCCTCAACAAATGCCTGAAAATTCACCTCTGGATAAGTCAATATGATAGACTAAAATGCCAAACATAATTAAAAAGAAAAAGGAAAAAGAAGGGTCTTTTATGATTACCCTTTGTGTCTCGGCATCAACATCCGGTGGTAATCGAAGCCAAGCAGAGAAAAGAAGAGATTCCAGAACAGTCAAACAAGGAGAATGAATATCATTCTGCTCACAGTAACCTGAAATTCTTGCAAAAGTTTCTTGCCTTTTGGGATAACCAGAGATATGTATGCTCCCTTCGATGACCCCTCCGGTTTTTCGACCAGCTAAAACATCCATGAGCGTAGTTTTACCAGCACCACTGACACCAACCAAAGCTGTAAGCACACCAGGTCTAAAAGCTCCAGTAACATTGACCAACAACTGCAATCTGTCTTCTGTTATCCCTTGTTGCTTCAGTTCCTGAAAAGATGCATAGATAACAAGTTAATTGATCAATGCATCTCCATAAAACAAATAGAAAAGGGGAAAAGGTCAATATACCGTACCACAGGGATATCGACAAAGTAATTTATACTGCTGAAAGACATAGAAAGTTGTTGAAATGGGAGAACCATGCCTCTCTGCTTGAAATATTTCCCTGTACAGCAGTTGAATAGAAAACGTAAATACACTAATACGAATTAAAAAAGAAACAAAGACCGAAAATGTCTATTACTTACCATTTAGTGAGGCTGAATTCTGCAAATAATACCTCAGTTCAGTAACAACGTTTTCACCCTTCCTTCTCCTGTCTCTGTCTTGCAGCTCTTCCTTGGAGAAAACAGCTTGTTGCTTCCCCAGAGCTGTAGTAAATGGAAAGTTATAAACTAATTAAATTTAGACCAACATATATGTTTTTCTAAGGAAGGAAGTTTAGGACCGATAATTTTTTTAATGGAACAAGATAGCTTACGGTTAAGGTTAGCCAGAAAGAATGTGAACAGGAGATTCAAGAAAGCTGTGTATCCTAGCAAAGCACCAACACCTATCCAATACCAGTAGTTCTCTGGAAAATAACTTCGTGCTTTCAACAATTCCTCACCCAATGACAAATT